GGTCGTGAAATCACTATGAATATAGCACGGCACATACGTGAGGGCTACAAAATACGCGACACCAGCATCTTGAACTTGCTCGAAAAGAGCGTGCTATACTTGTTACCGTTAACTGATAACTTTGATGTAATCTTCAATATGTACAACAGAAAGTGAGTATGGCAACTGACTTAGATTAGACAGATACATTCTATCTAATTCTCCCTGACTCTCTCTTTACAGTAACTCGCTCTGTGATCCCGAACTGGGTAATGAGCTAGCCGATCGTTTGCTCAGTCCTGAAATGGAGAAGAAACGCGATTTACTTTTGCAATTTCTAGATAGCGAACGCTTCGATCTGGTGTTAACCTTTACTGCTGGCAGTTCGGATTTAACGTAAGCCTTTTCAGATTAAACCAGGTTCGTACAAAATGATAACTACCCTTTGTCTCCATACACCAGTTACCCCAAAGGTGAACCAATCATCGAGAAGCTCGCACATTCCATTAAAGACAGCGAGTTCAGCACACCGCCACATCAATGCTCGCTCACCAGCACACGTTCCCTGCATCAGGCCACAACGGACCGACTTACAAATCTTCTCTACAAAATGTACAACATACCTCTCTTCAGTTTGGGGCTCTCCTGCTGTCGTATGCCCGTCCAATCGGAAATCGCCGGCATTTGGCGCAAAAATATCGGCAGAATCAAGAACTTCCTACGCCTCATCGAAACCGGCGTAGAAGGTCTGGTTCACAACGACAAAGGCGAGCCGTTACGCAACGCTTTTGTGCGTCTCATCGATCATCACCACGTCTACAATGTTACACGCAATGCGGCACGTTTCCAAATCATTCTGCCGCCTGGTGAATACGCTTTAGAAATTAGTGCTCCTCACTATGAGTCCGAAGTGAAACGTGTATTAATCACACCTCAACAGGTCAACAACTTGGGCGTGGTGAAATTGAACGCTTTTACGCTGCTTACCGGTGTGAGCGAGGTGCATCGCTTGGGCGGCGACAATGCGGGCAGCGCAACTGCACTTAACACGCAGACAGCGACCATCTCCGGCTTCGTTCTGGACACCATTAATCACCCTGTGAAGCATGCAAAGGTTTCGATCGTAGCGCCACACACGCGCAACTATCTGCGCAATTTCACGGACAGTTTGGGCGCCTATAGCATAAGCGGAGTGCCGCTGGGCGAGATAACACTGAAGGTGGAGGCGCCGCGTCATGTGAGCACTGAACGCGCGGTGCATGTAGAAGGTGGCGCAGTGCGCGGTGTCATTTTCCGTCTGAATGTCGACGAACATGTGTGGGGCATGCCACGTTGGGTGTTCATCTTGTTCGCCAGTATCATTATTATTGTGACCATGATTCTCTGCTTCTTGTGCGTGCAATTCTTGTTGGCTCGTCGCCATCGCGCCGACAAACGCTATTACAGTTTCTCGTTACTACCGCAAAAGGGAAAAGAACTGTTCGAGGATGATGGAGATGATGGCGAAACGGAGCTGTTCCGCTCACCCATCAAAAGTGAGTTTCTAACAAAAAAAATTATACTTTAGTTAAAGGTTCTTTGTAATGTTTGATTCTAAATGTTTTTCTTTCGTTTCCGCAGAGAGCATGTCCATAAAACCTTACTATGACGTCGAGGGACTCGAAATGGCGCACAGCGATGACGAGGACGACGATTTTCGGAATGACTTTAACGAGGATAGCGGTGAAGACGTTGTCATGTTGGATAAACGAAAATAAACTGTGATTAATAAAGAAAATAACGAAAACAACCACAACAACAACATGCTGATAGCAATTAGTGCAAGCAGGAAAGACAAAGAAAACCACATTGGCAACTTAATTTAAGACAAAGTACGTACTAACTCTGATTTAAATGCTAAATTATAACTTAGATTTTATATTTACATTTTAAACGTAGCTAATATTTGCAAATATTTGAAATATTTTCGCACAGAAAATTTAATGAATAAAATGTACTAATGTATTTTACCAAAATACAATAATCTTAAAAACAACTAATTTCAATAATTCTTCAAATGAAACAAGTGTTTTCTAATATTTTATAATTAATTAATTTTTAAATGTTAATATTGGGTAGTCGAAAAAGTCTTTTCGTATTTTGTCAATAGAGGTTTACGGAGACGATGCTGTATCAGTTCGTGTAGCACAACAATGTTTCGCTTGCTCCATTCTGGAAATTTCGATTTACACTGTTTCTTGCGGAAAAATGGCGAAAGTGGTCATTATAAAAAAAAAAAAAAAAAAAATAAGTTGAAGTTTGATTAGAAATTTGAAACGACTTTTTCGACTACCCAGTATTTCTAATGATATTATTCTAACACTGTAACTAGTAAGTAAAATTGTGCAAAAATATACAACAAACAAATACATATGTAAAAGAAAAATAAGTAAATATCAATTGTTCTAACTGCCAACCTCTGCAACCGAATCTCAACGAAAAGTTAACATTGAAATTTTTATAAAAAAAAAAAAAAACAGCTTTGTCAACGTAACTAATTCAGCTGTTTAAATTTTAAATTAAAATATTTTAAAAAATTTGAACCTGCTTGTGCTTTCATATTTGAAAAATTGTAGCTGCATTCATTGTATAAAATAATAATAAAAACAAAACATTTACCAAAAAAGACTGACGGTAAATTATAGTATCCATTGTAATGTATAAATAAATGAAGCAATTGACAATTAACGAAATTTTATGCATGCACGCTAAAGTTTTTTTCAAAATTTAGTTACTCATTTGCCAAACTTGCTTTGAAGTCTTTAAAATAAATTGAATTGAAAATGTTAAATATTGTGAATGCTAACGACTTTTACACGCGCAAAAGTTTTATTAACAGTTAATGAAGTTAAGTAACAAAATAAGGAGAACTTATGGAATCCTTTTTTTTTTAGTTTTGTTTCTGTAAAGTTGAAATTGTTTTTTTGTTTGGCAGCTAAAATGAAAGAAAATATATATGCATATAAACATTAACAATTAGCAAAAGTAAAAAAAAAGATTGTTTTGATATTTTTAACTGGAAAGCTATATTATTTAATTTTTATACATATTTTTGTTTTTTCTTTATAAATTCAGCTGCTTGAAATTGAAATTAGATAAAAATATATACATATTTGATATTTTAAAATCAACCTCAACTTTTTCGCGTACAAAATTCATTAAAAATATTATTATTTAACAAAAAGCTACGTTTAATGATTTTTTTTAAATAACTTTAACTTTTTCTCATACAAAATGCATTAAAAATATTATTTTTTAACAAACCACTACGTTTAATGTGTTTTTTTTTTAAATTTAGCAGATTGAAAACTTTTAAGAAGTTTCAATTGATATGATATTTTATAAAATTGTCCAACTCTTTTTTGTATTTTAAAATCTTTTGTAAAAAAAAAAAAACATTAAAAATTTTAACTAATTAAAAATAAGTAAAATTTCCATTTGCAGTTATGGTGTAACTTTATAATTTTCTTTAGTAATCATTCTAATCATATTTCCAGTGAAGCAGTGAACATTCCACAAAAGTTGTATATTTTTTCATGAAGTTTTCTTTGAAGCTTTTTATGGTACTAATGAAATATTTAAAAAAAAATTTTTATACACAATTAATATAATTTATATTATATCTCCATGCGTAGCGCGTGTTGAACACCAAAACTGTGCAATACACTAAGAAAAAAGGCAGATTTAATAACAAAAGCGAAAATATAAATCCATATGAATAATTTATAAATATATATACATAAATAATCATACACACTCACAAAAAAGATTTATTTGCTTCGAAAGAAGCCAGATGCGCTTTAGAGTTTAAAAACGTTAATATTAAAAATTTATATACATACATATGTGTATGTGCTGTCTCTTATACACATCTAGATGTGTATAAGAGACAGCGTGGGGAATTTTATCCAACCCAATATGCTGCAGCTTGTAATTTAATTATTATTTTTTATTTAAAATATTTTAATAAAATTTACGCATATGTATTTATAAATGGATAAATAACTGTAATTAATTTCGCAAAAAATTTAGCAAGTGAAAGGAAAGGGTTAAAAAAAATATATATTGTCTAGTCGAAAAAGTCTTTTCGTATTTTGTTATTATTATAAATATAAAAAATAAGATTTGATTAGAAATACGAAAAGACTTTTTCGACTACCCCATAAAAAGGCATTACTTTTTTAAAGATATTTAGTGTTGCTCAATCGTTGAAGGTTTGATGCGATATCTTCTTCGTATGGAAACTGCTTTATTTGTGAAGGCTATTAAGCTTCGATGCAACCGGAGATAACGTTTTTGTCTTTTTTCCGAATAAATAAAAACTTTTTAGAGAGAGACCATTTTAGTCAGCGATAAAACTGCGTTCAAAAATTGGGAAGTTTTACAATTATTTTTAATGAAATTTAAATAAAATACTCGCTGAGATGACAACATAAATGTTGTTTCTTAAATTCCCGAAGACGATTTGCGCTTGTGTGTGTTTGTATGTGGTTTAGGTATACCATGTGCTGCTTAGGAGCAAATGAGGCGAAGTAAAGCAAATAATTGCGGAGAAAAACAAAATATTTGAAATTATTTTTAGAAAGTTTATATAAAAAATACAAAATAATAAGTAAGGTTACAAATTCTTGCTAAGTGAGGTAAACTCCCGAAACACTCCCCTTGTAGCGTTTATTTAGAAACAAATATACTTACATGTATTCACACATATTCAATACTTAGTTTATAATCTGACATTTCCTGGTATGAAAGACACGGACACCTATACTAACATGTTTGTACTTGTATGTATGTATGTATGTATGTTTATCAGCACAAAAGCATCCTAGCTGTTCCATTCGTCGGACATTAGATTTGCGTTCAAAGGTTATCTGCGCTCTCGTGCTCGAGCGTTATCTTCAGCGCTTCACTTGCGTTATGATAACTGTCTTTCGAGTAGCAGCTTCGCTTTGACAGATTCTACGACACGCGGTACTTGTAAGTCTCGCCATTCGCGTACTGTTTGTCGCACTAATCGGCAGTTTCGGATTATTGCAGCCAGCAACACTCAATTTTGTTGTCTTGCCATTTTGCTCACTATCGTCAATAATAACATTGTTTGTGTACAAAAAGCCAATAATCTAAAATAAATAAAAGCGCAAAAGAAGAAAAAAGATTTTGTAATGCCAGAAATAAGCGCGTTCGCTTAAGTTCTTGCCCGCAAGTGTCGCTAATCTATTTATTGTAAACAGATTTGAATGCGTTTGTCTCGGTATCAGTGGTATTTTTCACTTTTCAAGTAGAAAAAAGTGGCAGAAACTAAAAATTCAACACGAATTTCCAACTTTTCCTCGAGTACGCGCCGTCTTTGGACAGCAGTTCGGGTCGCACAAAAGCGAAAGTGAAACGTAGTACCGTGTCGTGTGCCCTCAATTCCTTAAGTTTTTTCGCATTATTAGACTTTGTAAGTGAAAGCGCGCAGCGTCATGTGGAAACGTTGTGCCACCCTCGTCACGTGCCAATTGAAGCATCCACGCTGCCGTTACAGTAGCGGCGCCAGCAACGCCGAGGGCGATGCGAAAGCGCGTCTGGGCATTATTGGTGTGCCCTTCTCGAAGGGCCAGGGTAAGGGCGGTGTGGAAAAAGCGCCTGCACTACTGCGCGAGCATGGGCTAGTGCCGCTACTCGAACAGGTGTCCTGCGGTAAGCAGTTGTACAAGAAAATGTGTTTGTGGCCGAGTGTGTTTATTACTTTAATTGGTTCATCATCACAGGCCAACTAGAGGTACACGACTATGGCGATCTGCAATTCGATGTGGATCCCATACCAACGGAGGCACCGGAATATAGTAAAATTAAAAATTATGGTGAATTTATGGGCTGCAACAAGGCGCTGATCCGCAAAGTGCAGCAGCTGTTGCAGGAGAACGATCAGTTCCTGACGATCGGTGGCGATCATGCAATTGGTTTTGGTAAGCACACTGCACAATATGCAAACTTATTTAATCCCAGTTTTTACGTTTCAAATGCAGAATTCCATTATATAAAAATAATAAAAATCAAAAGCTTATGACTAATTGAAATTAAATTAAAAAAATTATATT